GTTTCTTGCTGTCTCAGCTCCAGGATTTTGCAATGAGGCATTGATAAGGAAAAACTGAAATATCACAGAGCAGAAGCAGCAAACTTTGCCCTCGTGATCCTCGGTTCAGGGGCTGATGGGAAGGGTTTGCTGCTGCGGTGGGGTGCACCTGTGCAGGTGTTTCAGATGGGGCTTTCAAGGATCCCTCTTATCTGACCTCCATCTGCTGCCCTCTCTTTGAAGCTGATGGATGACACTGCTGGCCTGGGGTTGGTGGTGTTTCCACTTTCTCCTGCCCTGCAGCAATGAGGCTTTGGCTTCCTTTAGTTCCAGCTTCAGAGCTAAAACGCTGTGACATTGAGTTTTGGGGCTGTCCTCACGTCCCCTGCTGCTGTCCCTTCTCCAGCCTGCAGTGGCTGCCGGGGCAGTGGCACTCTGTATGCACGGATGCCACCTAAACACTCTTCAAGTGCTGACTGGTGACAAAGCTTAATGACAGCGTTGCTCTGCTCTTTGCTCAGCAATTCCTGGGGATCTCGAGGCAGCTCTGAGGCTGCTCTGCCTCCTCAAGAGTTCATTTGCATTGAAATCATCGTTAAATTGTCCCATGGGATAATGAGTGTCAGAGAAAGCCTGGTTGGAAAACCAAATCACACAGTGGGAACAGTGGGATGAACCCCCGGTGTCCTGATTTTTAGGTCCAGCCCTTTCCAGCAAAGCCACCAGCACCAGGGACATCTCAAGGCCCCCTTTCTGCTCACTTGGAATTCTTATGGGCCATTTGTTGTGTCCTTGGGATTCTGACAGAGTTGGGGGCACCTCTGGAAAGGTCTTTCCTGTGGAAACCCCTGTGCAGGCCTTCCTCGGTTTACAAGGAGCACACCTGGGAATAAATTGAAAGGATGGGGGAGGGAGATGTCCCTGCAAAGCTGATTTCCCCACTCCCCTTAGCACTGCCATCCTACCCATGCTGGAGGAGCTTCAGCTGCGCCCAGGCAGAGGGCCTGAAATCACAACCAGGCTCTGAACCACCTGAAAAACACAATAAATAAATTAATGAGTTCTTGATATCATTGCAGGAATCTGGAAACTCCTAAAAACATTCTGGGGGTACCAGGGGGTGAGAGCTGGACAGGACTCAGAGACCCCTAAGCCTGGCCTGAGCCCCCCCAGAGGGGGGGTTCTGCCCCTGTCCCAGGTAAGACCCCACCTGCAGAGTTGCTCCAGCCCTGGGACCCTGCGCAGGGAGGACATGGAGCTGCTGGAGCCAGTCCAGAGGAGGAACCAGAAGGATCAGAGGGATGGAGAAGCACTGCTGTGAGGAAAGGCCAGGAGAACTGGGATTGTCCAGCCTGGAGAAGACTCTGGGGTGACCAGTGCCTGAAGGAGTTGCAGGAAAGATGAAAGGAGACAATTTCCAAGGGTCTGGAGTGCCAGGAAAAGGGGGAATAGCTTCCCACTGCGGAAGGCAGGCATAGATGGGATATTGGGAAGGAATTCCTCCCTGTGAGGGTGGTGAAGCCCTGGAATGGATTTCCCAGAGCAGCTGTGGCTGCCCCATCCCTGGAAGTGTCCAAGGCCAGGCTGGACAGAGCTTGGAGCAGCCTGGAATAGTGGGAGATGTCCCTGCCCATGGCAGGGGTGGGACAGGATGAGCTTTAAGGTCTCTTCCCACTCAAACCCTCCCATGGTTCTATGAAAAGCCAAGATTTTCACACAATCCCCTGGCTCCAAGTGCCCAAGGTTTCACAGCAGAACATTGGAGACAATACATGGACAGCTGGGGAATGGGAAAATCCATTTTCCCCCTGTCCTGCCTCTGAAACGCAGAGCAAATGCATCACGGAATTTCTCAGCTTTAAAAATGTTCACTGGAGAGTTAAAGACACCCATGCTGGGAACATCCCTTGTGCCATCAGAACTGGAGCTGAAGACTCTTGCACTGAGTGGTGTCTGGAAATGCAGGAATTTTCTTCTGATTATTTGGATTCCTGGGAAGTTTGGATGAAAATTGAAGCAGAACCTCCATTCTCTCCAGCAGATCCTTTGGCAGAACACTGGGAATAGAAGAATTTTGGGAAGTTTGGCTTCCCCCTGGAGCACCAGCACCATCTGGGATGGTCTGTGGTCATTTCCTACTCCTGGCCCTCCTCTTGTCTTCCTGGCTCCTCAAGGAAAACATGCTTGGGAAATATTTCTCCATCTATAAATAGGTCCATAAGAATAATGATGTAAAATAATGATGCACCTGACCCCAGGTAGGCCATGGCATTGCAGGTAAGTGACTGCTGGAGTCTCACACAGCCCCCAGGATTGGGACTGGGAGAATTTGGAAAGGTCAGGCCAAGAAATCCCAAGCAGAGAACTCAGCTCTGCCCCACACCGAGGTGACCTGGGCTGATCTCTGTCCTCCCTGTCCCACAGGTGTGACCAGGAGCTGAAGGGTTTTGTCCTGTGTTGGGATTGTCAAGGTACAGGTGGGTTTGGGCTTTTCCAGGCCATGATTTCACTTCCATGTTCTTCCAGTTGTTTCCCCATTTTCCCATGTGATACAGAAGCACTTCAGGCACTGGGATCAAGGTCAGTGTTCCCAGGTTCTCCCAGATTGCTTGAGCAGGGATTTGGATGCTCTCAGGTCTCTACAGCAGATAAGGGATCAGTGGGTGGGTGTGGCAATGCTCCTTCCTGGAGCTGAACAGGGAAAGGAGGAATTCCTTGGGATTAACTACGAATTGTATCAGAAGTTTTGAGGAGCAGGACCAGGGCACGGCCTCTGCTCTGGGCTCTTCTGAGGCCCCTCAGGTCCTGGGGTCCCTTTGGGCCTCTACTGCCAAGAGAGACCTTGAGGGGCTGGAGCAAGTCCAGGGATGGGAATGGAGCTGGGAAAGGGCTGGAGCACCAGGAGAAGGGTCTGGAGAACTCCGGAGGGACCTGGGGGGCTCAGCCTGGAGAAAAAGAGGCTCTGGGCCTCCTTTTGTCTCTGCAGAACACCCTGGCAGGAGGGGACAGCTGGGGTGGGTGAGGCTCTGCCCCAGGGAACAGGGACAGGAGGAGAGGAAATGGCCTCAGGCTGTGCAAGGGGAGGTTTACCTGGATATTGGGGGAAATTTCCTCTGTGGGAAGGGTTTTCCAGACCAGGCACAGCTGCTCATGGCAGGGGTGAGGTCCCATCCCTGGAAGGATTTCAGAGCTGTGACACTTGGGGACATGGTCAGGGTGGCCTTGGCAGTGCTGAGGAAACGCTTGGAATGGATGGTCTCCAAGGCACTTTCCAGCCTAAACAATTCCATGGTTCCAGGAATATGGCAGCCAAGGACAACAAAGGGGATATGGCTGTGTGCAAAATACTCTGAATTTTTACAGCTCTGCAGAAGGATCAGCCCAAAGCCCATCCCTGATCCCAAGGTGGGAGAAGGAGAAAATCTCATGGTCTTGGGGGTGAAAGGACATGGGAATGCTTCAAATCCTGGCTCAAATCACTCCCACGGGATCTGACATCCCAAGGGATGCCAGTTTAGGGATGATTATGGTCCATCCATGGCAGCTCCAGGTTCCTGATCCTGCCCTCCAATTCCAGCTCCCCCAGTGCAGTCTGGAATGTCTGGGTGGTTTCCTGACAGGGCAAGTTTGGGAAGTGTCACAGCTCCACAGGGAAGGTGAATTTGTATTCCTGGGAAGACTGGGGGTGCTTCAGCCACCTGGCTGAGGGGTTTGGGGTCTGGGAGGTGACTTTGTAGGAGTTTATATCTATTTCCATAAATGTGTCAGTATTTGATCCCTGTGTCCAAATTCAGGGGATAAAAGGGAATTTAAAGCACTTCATGTGAAAGAGGAGAGACATTATCAGACATTAAACCTCACATTCAGACCCTGGGAGACTTAAACAATTGTCAGGGTAAATAATAAATGAAACACTTTAATCTGGAGAAGAAACATTGAACACATCAACATTAATTTAAATAAATGAATTCAGCTGTGGCTTTTTCTACAGAAGAACATGCCCAGGGTGACTTCTGGAAAAATCCGCTGGGAATTTCCTGCACACATACATGAATTAATTTTCCTTTAAAAAGCATCAAAAACCCCATATGACTTTAAAAAGCGAACATTTGATAACTGAAATACAATTTGACACTGGAATCGACTTAAAACATGATTTTATTGTCATTGCTGAGAACAGAGGGAATTTTTGAGAAGTCCCTTCTGAGCTAAAATTCAAATTCACCATCGAGGAGCAAAGGGAAGCAGAATCCCTGTTTTTGGGTGGATCAAACCAGGGCTGGAAGTGCTGCCTTGGCAAAGCCCTCTGGGGATATTTGCATGGATTGGCTGTTGATAAACACTTGGTCCAGGCCAGATCAAAGCTGGGCTCCCTCCTTACCCCTCCAGCCACTCCAACATCTGAGGAAGAGCGTGGGGAGAAAGGCAAGGATGGATCTGGTGGGAGGAGGGGATGGTGCCAGTGGAGCAGAGTGAAGAGTATCATTTGGTGGAGGGGTCCAGTCAGAACAGGGAAGGGAAATTATCCATAATGATCCATTAATTAGCCCTCATTATTCAGAATTGGGCCCAATCTCATAGAATATTCCCATTAACAGCCTTTCCAGAGAAATCTTGGTGAGGCTGACACTGATGGGGCAATGCTGGAGACACTGCTGGGATTCACTCTGGGTATGGAGGACTTGGGGCAGAGCAAGTGAAATGGGGTTAAATCAATGGCTGAAAGAGCAAAGTTCACCCAAGACCAGCCCAAATCCTTTGGCCAGGCTGAGGACCATGACCAGGTCCTGACAGGGCAGAGGGAAGGGGTGGCAGGGGTTTGGAGGGTCTGGAGTGATGCAGCTATGAGAAAGGGATGTGAGAAGAAAGTGATGGAGATGAGAAGGAATTCCTGGCTGTGAGGGTGGGGAGGCCCTGGAATGGATTTCCCAGAGGAGCTGTGGCTGCTCCATCCCTGGAAGTGTCCAAGGCCCGGCTGGATGGGGCTTGGAGCAGCCTGGGATAGCGGGAGGTGCCCCTGCCCATGGCAGGGGTGGGATGGGTGAGGTTTAAGGTCCCTTCCCATCCCACCCATTCCATGATTCTGATTCTTCACACCTGAAACATGTTGGGTGTGAAATCTTTCCTTTGTGTGTTCCAGGAGATCTGAGTGTCCGAGGGTTAACAGGACCAGACGAAAGAAGGGAAAACCAGGGGGAGAGAAGGACAACCCTGGCCCAATAATAAGGTGGGTATGAGTTTGGGCTGTAACCCGGGTTTGTCATTTCACAGGGCAGGGAATTTACAAGTGCCCCAGTGGGGCCTGTAGGGACTCATGGCCATGCTCCCAGTCCCATCTTCCCAGGAAAGCCCCTGTGGAAGCACCTCTGTGTCCTGTGGCAGGTGGAAAGTGGCACTTTGGTCCCTTTCACAGCAGAACCTGTCATGTGTGACGCTCATGGCTCAGAGTGAGCGCTCCTGCTCCTGCTCCTGCTCCTGCTCCTGCTTCTGCTCCTGCTCCTGCTCCTGCTCCTGCTCCTGCTCCTGCTCCTGCTCCTGCTCCTGCGTGTGAGCCAAGAGCTGAGCGGGGAGCGGAGACGGGAGCAGAGTGAGCAATGAGGCATCGGGTGGCAACCTCCACACCCAGGGTAATGAACACTCTTCAGGCTCCTCGGAGCTCTCCGTGAGGGAACAGCCTCAGCCAAGCTCTGTGTCCTGCGAGGGGGACATGGAAGAGGGCATCCTGGGGAGATCCCTTGTTCCTGTGGGGTTGGGATTTACCGGCTCTTCCCCAGATCAGAAACCACCCGGGCATGGGGAGAGCTGGGAACAAGAGATGGGTGGGACCAGCACAGCATCTCCCTAGGAGAGGAGTCAACTTCAGTGCCCCAGGAGAAATGAAGGGAGAGAGGGGAGAGGTGAGACGTTCCTCTGCATGAGCACTAAAACCATGCCAGAGGTTTCCAGCTCCTCTCTTGGCCCAGGGAGAGGGTGGGCTACACCTTCTCAGACATCCCCCTGGGCAGGGTCTGGGGGGAGTGGAGCTCCACGGACTGGCGCCGCCGGACCTCGCGCTCGGCCCAGTCCGGCTCAGGCTCGCAGCCCTTGAGGATGGCCAAGCGCTCTGAGAAGGTTTTGGCCTGTGGGAACAGGACATAGTTGTAGAGGATTGAAGCTGCTGCAGCCCCAATCAGGGGGCCCACCCAGAACACCTGGAGAGAAGAGAAGAGAAGAGAAGAGTGGGGTGAGCAAAACAAGCCTAGCTTTGGAGGGTGGGGAGGAACTGGGATCTCTGAGGGGCATTCCAGGGGCTTGATTTCCTTCCTGGGAAGAAAACACAGTCAGCTCTGCTTTGGCCATTGCTGGGGATCTGAACTCTCTCCCAGTGCCTGGATATTCCCAACCATCCTCTTACACCATTTCCCCTCTGCTCAGACTCTGCATTAATGACAGGCCCATTGTGAATGTGCTGAGTGATGTGGCATCATCTGGAGGAGCATTTTCCTACCCACTCATGGATTGCTGTGGGAGGAGGAAGAGGATGAGGAGGCGGCACCAGAGCTGGCTTGGGCCAGATACCTTGGAACACATCAGCAACCACCACAGCTCTGCCTCCAGCCAGGCTCTTTGCAGATGAAAACAATAAAATAATGGAATCTCCTGAGCTGGAAAGGACCCACAAGGATCCTCAAAATCTGGCTTCTGGCCCTGCTCAGGACAACTGCCACCAATCCAATCCCACCCTGTGCCTGAGAGCATTGCCAAAATGCTCCTGGAGCTCTGGCAGGCTCAGAGCCATGGCCATTCCCTGGGGAGCCAGGGAGTGTTCCCAAAGATGTACCTAGATCCAGGAACCAGGAAAGTTCCCCAGGACTGGCAGCTGTTCCACTCTCCATTGGTTTTGTTCCCTGTATTAAGTCACGTCAAACAACCTCACACCCTGGTCCTGTTGCAATGCTCCCAGTTTGGAGTTTAGGAAAGCCAATTAAGCATCCAGCAGCCCCACCTCCTGCTCCTAATCTCTCCATCTCTCTTCCAGCTGGGAACTGGCATGGAAATGCTGGGAATTTGTCTGGCTTGGTGAGTTTCGAGGAATATTGGCAGTTTGGGGGCCTCATCCAACCCAACCCCCAGAGCCAAGTTCTCACCCAGTGGTCGCTGAAGTCTCCGACGACGACAGCGGGAGCGAAGGACCTGGCGGGATTCATGGAGCAGCCGGTGTAACGGATCTGCCAGGAACACCACGGCCGGTGTCAGCATTAAGCCCTTTTACCACATTTTTAAGAATGTTGGGGTGTCATTAGGGTGATTCATCCCCTGAGCTGCTGCTTCACCCTCCAGCACTCCTGTTCCAGGAAAAGGAATTCCAGGAGCCGCCACCATCTGAGTCAACACCGTGAGGTGTCTGAGCTCGTGTGTCCCGAGCGTGGTGTTGCTGTGCTGCAGCCCAAGGACTGCAGGGATGAGCTCCCAGTCCTGCAGAAAATTCCCTCTCCTGCCTCTGAAGACAAAAGAGGAGCAGTCCCATGGACACAGGGGCTTGAGGATGGAAGGTGTGGTGTGACCAGCAGCATTTTTCTGTGTGCACTGGGTGTGGGGGCTGCTTTGGACTGTCACCCAGCTGGGATTTCCTTGAAAACCCATCCCAAACACTTCCCAGGCTCATCATGCTCTTGAGAGCCCCAGCTGCCAACACATTTGCTTCAGGAGAGATCCCACAGATGTCTGGAACTCCCTATAGGACTCAAGGAGAAGCAGAGTCCAGAAAATCAAGTTAATACCAAATAAAAGCTGAGCTCAGGCCACAGCTCTCCCACAGGGATTTTTCCCTTTCTCTGCTGGAAAACCATGGGTTACAAATCCCCCATCAAGCCTGGAGATGCAGCCAAACCAACTCTGGGCATAAACAAACAAAAAATAACCCCAAAAGTGCAAGTTTTGGCCCATCCACTCACCCCAAGAAGGTGGCCCACGGCCACGGAGAGGCCAATGGAGAGGGCAGGGGAGCCCAGGTTGTCCTCACGCCGCTCGTCTGTGGAAGCAAAGACGCACAGGACCAGCTGGAAGGTGAGGAACAGCTCCACTGTCACCGCCTGCCCTGTTGTGGTCTCATTGTGCAGCTGGAACGGGAGGAAAGATATGTTCCAGGGCCAAGTTCCATGAGTGGATGGGAAATAAGGAGGACAAATCCAAAATCAGGGGGAGCCAAAGGAGACAGGGGAGATTTTTGGCACCACAAAGAAAAAAAATTTCCAGGTAGAAGAAGTCACTCAATGGGAAATGCTTGATTGACGTCTCAGGAAATTTTATTGGCATTTTTTGGGTATTTTCCCATTTGTTTTTCTTTTCCTCATACTCAAAATGCCTTTTGGAAAAGTTTACAAGTTGCATTTTGAAGACACTGAAAATAAATATTTTGGCATGAAAAAAGAAAATATTCCCTTTCCACTTCTTTGACTCAGAGAATTTATCAGGTCTGATCTGGAACTGTTCCTGGTTGCACCCCCTCTCCTCCAACTCAGTCCCTTCTTCCCCTGTGTCCTCCCAAATCTAATCCCATTGCTTGGGGATCCCAGGAAGGTCCTGACTGCCCTCCTGTCCGAGCTCTGGAGTCAGATCTTTCTCATTCTCCTCCCCAGTATTCCCCTCCCATTTTATAGGGACAATCTGTGCAGGTAGCCACGTGATGAACAGCCCACAGGGAAAAAAAACCTTCTCAAAATCCCCAGTTCCCACTTTTAGGTGGTTTAATCTGAAAACCAACAAAGCTGGAGCAGTCTGAGCCTCCTTTAAACCTCCTGCTTTTATTACCCTTGGTCATTACCAGCCTAAATCCCTTTGTTCAGATTAAACCACAATCCCTCTTTTTAACCCTCTTAATCACTCTGGCAGTGCAGCTGAGTCCTGGCAGTGCCTCCCTGCTCTGGGAAAGGCGATTTCCATCTGCTGCTTCCCAACCCTGCTCCCTGCTCCTCCCTCACTCCACTGGGGCTGGGGGATGCTGGTCCAGGCAGGTGCCCGTGCCCACCTGGGATGGTGGGCATGGAGAGGGGACAGTAAATCCCTGGCTTTCAATTCCTTTTCCCACTCCTGTTGTTATGTTCAGCAGTGGGGAAGTGGGTGTTGGAGACTAGGATACCATTGGAGAATCCTCCATAGCTTCCTAAAGTTCTCTGGCTCTCTTTTTTTTCCGTGTCTGAAATCAGCGTGAGATCCTTGTAAAGCTTTAGGGCACCCATGTGTTGGGTTCTGGGATGAACCAGCTGGATCTGGTGTGCCCATCCCATCACAATGGGAAGCAATGAACTGAATCTAATGAAAATCTGGGATTCAGACCCAAGTATCTCCTCTCCCCACCACCTCAGAAACCTGGAAACTGTGGCCTTGCCAAAGCAGAGCCAGGCTTTGGCTGCCTGTACCCACACCAGAGGGGAAATTGGGACAAGAGGAACGCAGAGGTGCTGTTTTGGATGTGTCCTTCCTTAAAGCCCTGGGACCCCCAGAATCCAAGCTTCCCCCAGTACAGCCCCAGGATAAAATGAGATGGTTGTGACTCTGAGAGAGGTGTCTGTGGCCAGCTGGATCCTTCCTCTGGTTTAGCCCTAAAAACAGGGGACATTTTTGGCACCAGTATGAAAAGAGGAAAAGTTTCCCAGGTGGAAGAAGCAGTTCAATGGGAAACACTTGATTGACCTCAGGAAATTTTAGCCCTAAAACCAGAGGAAGACAAGTCCTGCCGTTATTCCTGCTCCTGGCAGGACCCATGGAGCAGCAGGGTCCTGGTGCTGGGCTGTGGCATTCAGAGGCTCCCTCACCTCTCCCAGAGGGTCTTTGCTGGCCATAAGCCCCTTCCTCCCACCCCTCAGCCTTTCCAAAGACCCTGCCCGGTCTCCCCGAGACCTCCCAAGCCCAGCCGGTGCCGAAGCCTCACCTTGTTGAGGGCCAGGCCCTGGCGGGAGCTGGCCGGGGTGATCTCGTGCAGGATGGCAGCGCCCACCACCCCGCCCAGCAGCTGGGCCACCACGTAGAAGAGGGCACGGAGCAGGGAGAGCTGCGAGCCCAGCAGACAGCCCAGGGTCACGGCAGGGTTGATGTGGGCACCGCTCACGTGGCCCAGAGACTGCACCAGGGTCCCAATGGCCAAGCCAAAGGCCAGCGCGATCTGCAGGGTGCTCGGGGCCGGTGCCGAGGGCCAGTTCAGGGCAGAGCCGAGGCCGAAGAGGACGAAGACCAACGTGGCCAGGAATTCCGCCAGGACAGCCCGAGTGAAAGCGATGGAGCGCAGTTCCCACATCATGGAGGCTCCCAGGAATGATCCTGCCCGGAGTGTCCTCAGTGCCCACCTCCTGCTGTGTCCCTGAGGATGACCTGAGACAACACTTATATACCTGGAGGTGGGGGTGCCACAGGATCAGCTGCTGAAGGGGATGGGATCATGGTCCCAGGAAATCTGATGCTTTTTTCCTTCTGTGTTCCAGCTGAGGGAACATCAGATCCTGCCCCTTCTATTAAAGCTGGGGAATGCAGTGCTTGCCACCTTTGGGAGGTCATAGATCAGCCTCCAGCAGTGCTGGAAGGACTGCTCCCTTTCTCCTGGGCTTCCTTCCCTGGGATCTATCCCCAGAGCTGCTGTTGCAGCTGGATGCTGCGAGCATGGAAAGGACAGGAAGCAATGTGAAATCTGTGGAACTGGAGCTGAGGTTGGCTTGTGTTGAAAATCAGGCCATGGGCTGTGATTTAAGAATCAGAAAAATCCAGAAACATGGAGGGATTCCTGGGGGTGTTCTGCGCAGGGCCAGGAGTTCGATTTGGTGATCCTTGAGGGTCTCCCAACTGAGGATATTCCACAATTCCATAAAAAGTAAGTGCAGGGGAGGCACAAATGAGATTCACTGTAGCTCAGCTCTTCAGAGTTTCAGAATTTTGCAGCCTGGGCACAGATTTCTTACCCAGAAAATTGGGAACCAATCCCAAAGCAAAGACTGTCAGAAATTCCCATGTGGAAATGTGACCCCAGGGCTGGAGCACCAAGTCTGCCCTAATTATGGCCATTTTAGTCAACCCAGCTCTTCAGAAACATCCTTTTAGTTCTTGGTGTCAATCCCAGAGAGAGAATTTCTTCTCTGGGATTTGGTTCTCCCCACCTGCTCCTTGCCCAGAAAGTTCATTTTCCCATTTCTCCAATTCCTGCTCTTGAGGGATGTCTGTAAAACCTTTGCCTTGCCTCATCACTGGGGCTGGTGGCTTTACTGGAAATTGAGGTTTTTCTTCTCCAGAACGGATTCTGTGGTGGGATCACTCCTCCAGCTGTAGCTGGAAGGACCATTTTATCCCAGAGGGATGCAGAGCACCCAAGTGTCCATTTTTGGGCTCTAACAAAGGCTCTTCCTCTACAATAAACTGAGTATTTTTCCCTTCCAGAGGAGCTGTGCAAGTGCCATGGCAAATGACTGATGGCAAATGTTCCATATTGCTGGAATTACATCAGGGAATGATGGGGTATCCCAGGTTGGAAGGGACCCACAGGGATATGTGAAGGTTCTTTTCTCCATGACAGGTGGGGAACAGAGCTCCCAGGTGGAGCAGAGGATAGATATGGATCCCTTCCAGTAAAACCATTCTTCTTGTCTTCCCCTTTCTCCCTTCTTGTCTCCCTTCCATCCTCCTCTCTCCCCTTTCCCTTTTCTTTCTTCTTCTCCCTTCTGTTTTTCCTTCCGGCTTCTTTTCCCCCTTCCTCCTTCCCCTTTTCCCTTCTCTTTCTCCCTTCCCTCTCCTCTCCCTCTCCCCTTCCTTCCCTCTAAAAAAAGTTTTGTGGGAATATTGCTCTTAATGAGTGAGGGACTGTGGGAAAAACAAGTCCATCCCATGGCTGAGTCTGAACAAGGTGGGACAGTGGTCCAATAAAATATTTTCCCGTGAAAATCCTCCCCTTGGACTGTTCCACCTCAGCATCTCTCCAGCCACAGCTTTTCCATCAGTGGAGTCAGTCCCGTAAAACAGGTTTGGAGGCTAAAGGGATTTGGGTGCTGCTCAGCCTCAGGATCATGGTCCTGGCCAGGCTTGTGCTCCACGTGCCTGGCACAGGGCTCAGTCCTGCTCAGGGCAGGAGTTACTCAGGGCTGCAATTACTGCAGGGAGGATGGAGAGCAAATCCAGGTAATTACTGGAGCTCATACCCTGCCTGATTAGTGGTTATCATGGGGAGTGTGGGGATGTCTCAGTGCTCAGGACTAATTAAAAGGAAGAAGTCAGCAGGATTAGTTCTGAGCAATTTGAAAGTCCAGCCTCATGGTCTTGACTTTTGTCTGGAGATGCAAAACTCATTGCAGCTTGTTTGTACTGAGCTTGGAGATGTTGGTGCTGAAGTTGGAGATGGTTGTTTCAAGCTTGGAGCAGTCTGAGACATGGCTGGGGGTTCCTGTGGTGCTGGACTGTGGAGAAAGGGTCAGAGCTGCATTTTGAGACCGGCTGTCGTGGTGTTCATGGCATTTGCTGGGAGATGGTGTTTTCCAAAATAAACAGCCCATCCCAGCTTTCCTCAGAGATCTCCAGCACTGTAATTCCACTGATTTTACAGAGGAATCCATCCATGGCACAGAACCAGACCCTGCTGTCTCCAGGCACTGAGTCAGTGGCAGAGCCAAGGTTTCCTAGCAGTGCCACATCTGGGCACTGCCCCATGCCTGGGAAAAATGGGAGACCCCACAAGCTGAAGAACTGGGAATGGGCTGTTGAATCTGTGCTTGTATCTAGGAGGGGGTCCTGAAGCTGCTGGAGGTGATGGAAATATGGCTTTCCACCTCACCTCAGGTGTGCTGCTGCTTTGGAAGCAGTCAGGAGCATTCCAGCCCTGCAGGGAATCCAACAAGTTTGGGAAAGTGCATTATTTTACCTGTTTATACTCCAGTCCCTGGAGTGTGACAGTGTTATCAGCCGTGCCTGGGACCAAGTGCTAATGCAGTGGTCTTGAGGAGTGGGTTGGCATCTGCAGAAAGTTGTAACCCATGTGGGTGCCTCATGCCGGAACCCTGTGTTGGAGCCCATGTTGATGTCTCATGTCTGGAGCCCCACGTTTGGAACACCACGTTGATGCCCTGTGCTGGTGCCTTGTGTTTGAACCCCGTGTTGGTGCATCATCTTTGTGCCCTGCGTTTGGAACCCCATTTTGGTGCCCTGTGTTGGAACCCCAGGTTCAGAACCCTGTATTTGTGCCCTGTGTTGGTGCCCATGTTTGGAATCTTGTGTTGGTGCTCACGTGGGTGCCTCAGGTTTGAGCCCCATGTTTGGAATGCCGTGTCAGTACCCGTGTTCAAACCCGTGTGGATTCCCTGTGTTTATATCCCATGTTGGAGCTCCATGGTGGTGTCCCATGTTGCAGTGCTGTGTTTGGAATCCTCTGCTGGTGCTTTGTGTTGGTGCCCCATGATGGTGCCCAGTGCGTGGAGCCTCGTGTTCAGAGCCCCGTGTTTGAACCCCGTGTTTGGAGCCCTGTGTTTGAACCCCGTGTTTGGAGCCCTGTGTTGGTGCCCTGTGTGGGTTCCCTGTGTTTGAACCCCGTGTTTGGAGCCCTGTGTTGGTGCCCTGTGTGGGTTGCCTGTGTTTGGAATCTGGTGTTGGTGCCCCATGTTTGGAACCCTGAGCTGGCGCAGCGGGAAAGGTCCTGGTGCCACGTTTCGAAGAATGCTTTGAAGGTGTCATATTTTGAGGAACATTTTGCAAGGCAGGGAATGGTTCTTGCACAACCAGGAGCTCCTCCAGTGCTTTAGATGGTCCTGATATCTCTGCTCCCCTGGCTTCCAAGAAAGTATAAACATCCTGAGGTATCTCCATTCCATCTGAAATACCTCAGAGCCACAAAAACACTTATTGCATAAACAACACGCAGTTTTACTTCTTGGATCTGATCCGTCACAGGAGTCTCATGTACTGCCCAGGCCCCGCAGGAAATCCCAGTTTTTGCTCTTTTCTGGGAGCAGGGAGCACCTGCGGACAACTCCCCCTCCCCTAAAACAGCCTAAGGGACAACCTGAACTGCTGCTTCCCATGGCAGCAAATGCTCTTTTCATTGGACACTGGAGAATCCACCACTGGAATAAGGCTGAGGAGAAGATTTTGTACAAACTTGGATGGTTTTGGTCCTGCTGTTGCTTGAAATGCAAGATTTCTGTCCCACAAAGGAGGGGGAAAACTGAAATGTGTAAAACTGGAATAGGAAAAAATGGAGTGGGTAAAACTGGAATGGGTAAAACTGAAATCCTCTCTTGGAGAGTTCTCCAGGAGCAGCCTTTAAATGAAAAAAATTAAACTCTTGCATTGTGACAAATTCTGTTCTTGGTTGAGGTTCTCTGTTGGCTGCCTGGAAAAATGGATGTGCCAGGGCCTTTGGTCCCATCCTGTTCCCCAGCAGAGTGTGGGGAATGGCAGCCATGGGCTTGGGAAGCAGATGGGAATGAAGGAATGGACTCATTTGTGTTGGGATCAGCAGGGGCAGAAACTCCTCAGCCTGGCTTCCATCTGGGAATTGGAGCACCAGCAGCAGCAGTTTGGCTCCAGGGACCTTTGCACCCTGGATGTCCTGATCCTGATGGGCATTCCCAGACATGAGGGGCTGTGAGTGGGGGTCCCTCAGCAGGGACAGGAACAAACACAGGTCGCTCACTGTCTCCCGAGCGGGGTTTTTCCAGGACTTGGCTCCTGCTGCCTGATTCCAGACTGGTTTGGGCTGGAAATAATACTAAAGACCATTGAATTCCAACCCCCCTGCCATGGGCAGGGACCTCCCACCATCCCAGGCTGCTCCAAGTGCCATCCAGTCTGGCCTTGGACAATTCCAGGGATGGGGCAGCCACAGCTGCTCTGGGAAATCCATTCCAGGACCTGCCCACCCTCACAGGGAGAATTCCATCCCAATATCCCACCTAACCCTGCCCTCTGCAGTGGGAAGCCATTCCCTGTGTCCTGTCCCTCCATTCCTTGTCCCGATCCTCTCTCCAGCAGGGAGCTGTGGCACAGTGAGGGAGAGCATTAAGGTCCCTTTTGGTGACCATCAGGAGAAGCGATTTTCTCCCGCTGCCCAATTCCATCCAAAGGACGTTCACCCAGCGGAGCAAAGTAGGGAGAGAATCCCCATATTCTCAGCTTTTCAGGCCGACTCCTAAATCCCTTTTCACACAAAGCTTCCGTTGGCTCTGTCTGTGTTTGTTGTTCCTTAGGGAGGCACATGGATTATTGCAGCCCCGATTCCCTCCAGTGCCTCCCAAAGGGACCTTGGGCGCGGGCCAGGAGCAGAACCCGCCTGAGAGGCTTTGCTTGGTTTCTTTATCCCATCTCAAAGACTAGCAAGTTCAGTCCTGAATGTTTGCCCGGGCTTTCGTGCA